TTTCTGCTATTATACAAATTATTTTATTAGTAAGTTGCCATTTCTGTATATACTTGAGATCTAAAATACCATTGCTAGCCACATCAAATGGGGAAAACAGTTTTTATCGAAAAATAATAATTACTTTGATCTAAAACAACAAGTATAGTATAATACTTTGGCTAAGATTGAAAAACTTTAGAAAAAAATATAATATATTATGTGAAATATTTCCGTTCTATCTCCACTACAAATTTATATGATAATCATTTCATTATAAGAAAAAATGGGCAAAATGATTTATCCTTCAAGAATGACAACTTTAAAAGAGGACGACTGTTATCAAATAATTTTGATTGGTCAGATCTACTTAAATAGTATCCAAAAGAACATAAATAGAATTGGCATTATAAAACAATATGATAAGTTGTCGATATTAAAAGAATTACCTCGTTCAAAATCGATTTTTTATACACTAAACAGAACCAATAAGAGCTGATCATCTATGTTGAATACTCTCTTTTTTTAACCATATGTATGTGTAAAAGTATCTACTCAAAAAATCGGTTTCAAACAAAGACGATTAATATTTAATCTTGCTTATTAAGGCCAACAATACATTTCACTACCTTGGTTGTAGAATAATATTTATTCGTAGACAATATTTTACGACAATGTTACTTTCTATCGTTAAGAATAATGGATTTAGAATCGTTAAATTAATTAAAATTCATCTGTTCCTACCTACATCATCAATATTTTATTGTATCAAGTCGTTTAAACGATGACAATACTGTAACTCAATTATACAGCAATTTAAGACAGGTGTATTTCTACTCATACTGTGATATTATTTTTAAAAGTACAGTATTATGATCATATTGATTTCATTTTATTTTGTTTCCTTATTACTTATCAAGAATCAATTTCTTAAAAATATATCTCACTCTGCTCTTTCTCCTATATATATATATGTGTGTACATATTAGACCTCAGGATATGAAAGATATCATTTTCACCAAGGAATTTCTATCATTAAAGATACTGATGGAGTTCATACCTAACTATTAATATTATAAAGTTAAAACGAAATAAGCTACAGCTCATTCAAACCCTTCGGACTGGAATAGATATTGAGTAAAAGAAAAAGTTTGCACCTAGGACCACAGCAACAGTCAAATCATATTATCCAACGATACTCGATCCATTTGTTAGTGCTAACTTTTCATGAATTTAAAGAGTCCTCATGGTTGATTCCTACTATTTACAATAAGCTTATACCAGTAAATATTTCTGATTGATCTAGCAATCTAATGCCCCTTACATTGCCTAGAAATTAAAGCGAATTCTTTATCGTCAACATTTCACTTGGCATCTTCTGATTGCTTTCCATCGAAACTACAATCAAGCCGTAAAACTGATCCATTTAGTTCTTTCATAGAGAAACCAAATCATATTTTATCCACTCCCAACAGACCCATAATTTAGTTTCAATATAGTTACAAATTTTCATTTGGATTATTACTGGCAATCTAGCAGAGACAATTCTAAACATTTTTCATTATATACCGGTATTTTTCTCTTGTTCAGCATTATTATTATCACTAAATTTACTTACTACTTACTTATACCGGTCTAAATCTTGTAGATTATATTACTTCTTTTCATCTTGGCATTAATCTGCATTTCTAATCCATTATCAAGCTATTGGATCAATTTTTAGACATCACAAGCTCACATAGTAAAAAGTTCTTTCCCTACTAATCTATTCCTTTCCTTTTAATTTAATAAATTAATAGGATTGGCTATTTAATTTATTATAAGTTTTCTAATTCAGCTAAAATTCATCCTTTTAACAGTAGGAAAACTTTACTAACAAATTTAACTTAATGGCAGATTACTATTGATCTATAAGTGAATAATCGGGATCATAAAAAAGAGGTGCTAAGCATTACATATTCTAGTCCAGATCGCGAACAGGCCAAGGAAGCAAAAGTTATTTTTTTTTTTCGAAAGATATCGTGTCAAAATCCGGTCAAGATGAATTTTTCCTCAGTTACGCCGACACCAGCTATCCATCTGCAGGTCCCCCTTATTATTCATATCATGTATGGTATTCTATCCAATATTGCAATAATCGGTAACTTATTAGTATTAATAGTAAGTATTCATTCAAGATCGGTCATAAAAGGTCCTCTACATACTTTAATATTTTGCCTAGCAATTATGGATATGATGACAGGTATAGTCGCTTTTATAACACCAGGTTTTGCTTTTGCTTATGATACATTCCCGTACCCAAATGGTACTGCTGGATTACTCTATTGCAGATTAATTGATTCAGAATATTTTTTCTTCTCCTTTGGATTTGTCTCTATTTACATCGTTTTACTTATAAGCCTTGAACGATGGTGTGCGATTGCTAAACCATGGCGCTATCAAATTGTTTTTTCAGTCAAAAATTGTAGAATAACCGTTTTAATTATAGTTGTACTACAATTATCGTTAACACTGGAAAATACGTTGAATATGAACCATAAAAGTGGAAATATACCACCATGTATATGGGGCTCTATTTTCGCTGATGCATTAGCAAGAAATGTCTTTTTTATTGTTATGGAAACTATACGCTTATTTATACCAGTATGTATAATTGTATTGTGTTATCTTGATATTGCTCGACGACTACTCTCTAGAGCTAAAATCGGTCATACAGAAAACACTATCAAAGCAGCAGCACGTCGGCGTGCAACAGTTATGGCATTTTCAGCTTCAATAATGTTGATTATATGTTGGCTGCCCAATGAATTATATTTTACACTTTATCAATTCAAAGTCATTGACCTAGATGAAATCTTACATAAGACATTTAAAATACTCATTATATTCAATTCTAGTATTAATCCATTCGTTTATGCTTCTACAAATGAATTATATCGCAATGGCCTCTTTAAATTATTTGCCTATTCAAGATGGCGCTGTTATAGCAGTTCCAAAGCTTAAGTAATCACACTTAATTACTCTTTAACAGTATTGAAGAACTTAAATTAGCCTATCCTCGGTAATAGCAATCCGATTTTAATATTTATCGCCAAAATGTAAGGCGATTATAACCAATCTACTTAATATGACGGACTATAGGAAGTCAAATCCATTAGTAGCGTGAGGCAGAAAGACAAAGGATTAATGAAAGGCTTCCACAAATAGTTTGAATCAGAATGTTAATATGATCATGACATAAAGAAGTTTTATATCATGGCCAAAAAGCCGAGAAAATTGAAATAATTATTCTTGTTATTAACAGTCGTGACGGCAAAATAGAGTAACAGCGAACCTATAGTAGCTAATCAAAGTAATGATCCCGATGATAGCTGAACTTAAGAAAAACCGTATTTGTCAACATAGATTACAATATACAATTGATTGCTTTTAAGCTACCATGTCTAGTATACGTAGAGTGTGTATTAGACAATCATCTAATAAATAGCTTTAACATTTTAACCAATTATAATCAATAATTGCATTTGCAGCAATTTTATTAGAATTTGTAAATTAATTGCTAGGAATTATTGTAACCTATACGTGTACAAGCTAAAATAATTCAAGTTTAACACGTCTGATTTTCTTAGATTACTATATACGAGTATTAAATACGCATATGCGATTAACAATATTCCTACAGATTTAAATAATTTATATTGGAAAGAAAAATATATTAGTGAAATCATAAGCACCATTTCAAAACATTATTTATCATTCAATTTCTTGTAATATTTGCCTCTTTCATTGCCGGCTGTTATACCTATCTCTATCTGAAGCCATTACTTGTTACTATTACAACACTCACTTTAATTACGACCTAGTATTCTCAGCCTGATGCAACAGCCATTAATCCACTAGGATTAAAGATCTACAATTAAACTATGTAAATTACTGCAGAACATTTAATTTCTTCCTCAGTTTAGCTGATGCTTATGTCTCAATAAAGAATGGGGTTCAAAAATATTTCTGCGCCATAATCAGATACTTAATGGGATTAATTTAATGCTAGGTATAAAAGATTTTTGATCTGTTTAATATTTATTTATATTATGACTGATTAGCAGTGGTATCATAAATCTAGTATTAATCATATTAATCTATTTTTACCTTCGGTAATACCGAAAAATCTGTAGTATTTATCGCGGTAACTTTATGGATTTTAAAATTCATCATTTATACTTTCGCATGGTTTGTAAATCAATAATTAGAAGTAAATTTAATTTATGCGGCATCATTATATAATGATACTTAAGTTTACGGCTAAATCATAAATTATGTAGTGTTATCGTCCTACCATTTACGTATGATGCATTAGCTACCAGAGTTTGATTGACTCTAAATTTCCTCTATTGGCAACAATTCTAAATGTAAACTAAGTGAAAATTTTAATTTAGGAATTGCCTTATATCTAAGTGATTACTCAAATCTAATTTATCTCCAAGTTAATCAGACTTTTAATAAAGCGTATTGCAGTAAAGCAATTTAAAAAATTCTTAGATAGTATGGCATATGTTGCGATATATCCGTTCATCCCATTTTTCAAAGCTACTCAATTTGATTTGGAAACATTAGATCAAAGATTAATATAGTGATTTCTGTTTACCATAGTCTACATTTACCTCCTATATTACACCGTATATTATCTACCTTAAAATTGTTCAGTATTACGTTAAACATCGGAATTAAAAGATTAACTGAAAGAAAGCCCTAACGTGATCTAAGAATTGTTCAATCAAAATAATAACAAGATACTCATAAAAACAGCAGATAATCCGTCACTTACTAACTCGTATTCTAATAAAGCTTCACGAATCATAAATAGATTTAATGTTTATCATGACTATTCTGATTATCTATTGCTTACATCACGTAGTTTGCTCGGTTAAAAGCAAGGACTAGGACAACAAAAGTCGTCTTAAAAATGCTAACAAAACTATTGACATAGTTGCAATTATTTGCAGATAGGCAGAGTTTTTTATCTATTCTTATTTATTGCTTGTTCATAAGTAAACAAAGCGTGTCATTAATTACCATATTTTTTTAGCTGGCTAGAATATTCTTAATTGCAATTCTTAGATTGAAAATATCAGATCATTTTTTCAAATAATTCCGCCTTCATAATACTGCTACATATCGCCATAAGTAAATGAAATTATGGTATAGAAAGAAAGTTGTATCATATTTATGCCTCCCTTTAGTTGCATTCGATTTAAAAATATACGTAGGTAATAATGTATCTCACAGACTTATAAAATTCTTCATAATCATTCCTTAGTTCTATCTGACTGTTTATTGTAATATAGAGTATATTGGAGTATTTATGTACTTCAGTACATTAGACTCGACAATGTTATTTGTATAAGTTTAAAAATTAGGGGATTTCATTTTAATTCTTTCCCATTATCGATTTGAGAATCACTTCGCATATCGGATAAACTCTCTCCTAGAATATCAATTTTAGTTCATGAAGGACTAGAAGCAAATTTTATTATATATGATACTAATGAATGCAACTATTTGGATTTGTACGTAATATTTTTGAGGTAGCATTTAAGCTGTTGAATTAAATATAAGATGTTGCTATTATTAATAGCATAAGATAAGATCAAAACAATTCTCAGAAAAATTCAATATAGACTTTTTTTGTAGTAATTATACCAACATAGAAATAAATGAACGTATTGCTATAGATAAAATATAGAACATATAACCATATAACTGATAATTGTAGAATGAGATAGAGTTATAGATTTAAGAGAGATATACAAGTTCGAGACATTTATCTGTTATACGTTTTTGTAGTACTGTAAATCATGACTTAATTTCCAGAATGATGATAAATATTTCCAAGATATAGACATAAATAATGAATCTACGAGATGCTATCAATTCTTCGATAGTCGAAGAAATTAATCTACGTAAATAATTAATATATAACCTATAAAACTGTAAGTAAATTTTCATAGGAGCCAACTTCAATTAGAAAAAAACAACCACGTCTTATGTTTCTCGTATATATGCATAAGTGGCAATTTTATGCAAAATGTGTGTTATATCATCCTTTCTAACCTAAATTATAACTTGAAATCATCGATAATTTTGGTAATAAATGAATTATGATGAAGTAAAACATCGTTTATGAAGAGTACACCTCGCTGGAAAAATACGTAAGCATTGAAGATCTTTCCAGTATACCACAGCGAAGTAAAATATATGAGTAATAATAAAGATTTAGCAATACTGCTATTTATGATTAAACTGTGGTATTTTTAGTAAATATGTGATCACCTATTTCCAATTAAAATCCTTTACTCAGATAAATGAATCATTGTATCGTATTTACAAAAAAGAAGTGTGTAAATTATAGAGTCCAGCTTTAATGTACTTAGGTTAAATTGTGTACGGTGGATATCTGGTAAGCATGATCGACGAGGTCATGAACTAATACTATACCGGTAATGTATACTAACCCTATCATATAAAATATGAAAGCTGTTAACCCATGCATAGTAATGATAGAAAATTTGAAGCTGAAAGTAAATCCTTTCTAAAGTACCGATTGATACTGATATCGTCGATTTCTTGTCATCAGCAAGTGATATTTTAATGATATTTTGCAAGTTTGCACTAAGATACCTGCTTTATCATCTAAAGTGTATAACTCATTCACGATATGGTAGGCATAATAAAGGTCTTGCAGTTGTAAATAAATTATTCACAAGTTCTTTAGTACTAGCCTATTTAAGATATCAATAACTTCTTATTACAAATGAGCGATATTTATTTGGAAATTTTCATGCTACCGTACTGTTATAAGCTTACATTGTCATACAAATGCCACCAACAAGGTTCAAATACGTATGATATCAATGATGGCCTTGAGCGGGTTATTGCTATCCACTATCGGCGACGCTTTTAACTACCGAATGGTATTAAATACCGACACCGTATTAGAAATTTGTGCTCTTACGTAATATAAAACTCTCGAATGACGATTAATAAAGGTCTTGAATCAAGTTTACTACCCATCATTAATAGTGTCATTGGTAACACTAGTTATAACTTAATTATGAGATATAATATAGGGGAATATGCGATCTGCTGGCAATAAGGTGTAAACTGCATACTCAGAAACAGTATGGATATAATAATAATTACAATATACCCACATATTTACTTTCATTAACATCTAAAGAGTATAACTTCTATATGCTACTGCGTAATATCCTAAATTAAATTAACATTTATCTATTATTGATGCGGTTTTTGACTAACGAAATACTTCAAATTAATGTAACTTTTATATGCTACTACGTAACTTCCTAAATTGAATGAATATTTATTTTTCTTGATTTTGTAATTAGCTAGCGAAATGTATTTATTTATACACTGTACACTTTCATTATCATTTAAATTTCGTACATACGCAACTTGAAAAATTCCAGCAAATAACCCGTTCCAAAGTTCTAATGAATTAGCGGATATATGACCCTGAAATCTTAAATTAAGAATGAAATGAAAACAAGTTCAACTCTAGATTATTTATTTTAAGTAATCCTGTTATATTTCAAAGCTCGTATACACTTTTCCTCTATGTATTTCGAAGATGGAAATTTGGGTGCGATTGCAATAAATAGACTCCACAGATCTAACAACATCCTTTACATTATACAATCTATGCTGTAACGATCAGTTCTAGTACTACAATCAAAGGACCTCACATTTAAGATCATTAGAATGAGTAACCCCTCGTCGGTGGTACTATGGGTTACATATTTTATGAATAGAATATAAATAGTTTACATAAGGCAATGCCGCTATTATTCCAACTAAAAAAACGGCATTGATGTTAGCGTCAAGTTTAAAACATAGAAGTGAAGGTCATAAAATTCTATAGTCATTAAATTTTAATTGTGACAGCACATGATCTTAGCTAACACATGATAGGCAGCTTGGACTTC